AATTTATTTTAAAATTTGGTATAAATATATCAAACAGCATTTACCAGCTTTTTTTTTTTTTTTTTGGTGTGTGGTAGTTGCAGCTGAAATCCACCCTCCTAGCAAATTTCCAGTGACTTGGTATAGTTCACTGTAGTCATACCTCTATCTCTAGACTTATTCATCTTACATCACCGCAACTTTACATAATTTGATCAACATTTCCACATATTTTCCCACCTCCTCTGTCCTGGTTATTACCACATACTGGGCTTTTCTAGACTCCACACAGGAGATTATGCAGTGTTTTTCTAGAATTGGCTGCCTTTTTCACTAGGGTAATACCCAGTTTCATCCATTATGTAACAAGTGACAGGATAGCTGTCTTTAAATGCAACACAACTTTCTTCACCTACTCATCTGTCAACAGGCACTTAGGTTGTTTCCATGTCCTGGCGATTGTGAGTATGTGATCACGGGAGCACACACACCTCTTCAAGGTACTGATTTTAGTTCCATTGGGCACACACCCCTCAGTGGGGCTGTTGGGTCATATGCTAGTTCTCTTTTTACTTTTTTTTGAGGGATCACTATACTATTTTCCACAGTGGTCTTGCTCCAAGGGAGTACAAAGACTCCCCTTTCCCCTCTCATTGTCCTCGCAAACATTTGTCACTTCTCCCCTCTTGGGTAATGGCCGTCCTAACAGGTGCAAGGGGATATCTCACTGTGCTTTTCATAAACATGTCCTCGTGATATTGAGCACCTTTTCATGTTAGCTGGTTGCATGTTTTGCTTTGGCAGAAGAGTCCACTCAGGTCCTTTGCTCATTTGTCAATCTAGTTGTTTTTGCTGTTGAGTTGCATGAGTTCCTTGAGCATTTTAGTTCCTTATATATTAACCCCTTTGGACCCATGGCCAAAGGGTTTTCAAATATTCTCTTTCATTCAGCACGTTGCCTTTTCATTTTGTTGATTGCTTGCTTTGCTGTGCAGAAACATATTTGGATAGATGTAGCTCCTCTCTTTGATTTTTGCTTTTGTTATCCGAGCTTTTGTGTCACATCCAAAAAAAACCATTGCTGGCCAGCAGTTTAACATTTCCTTGGTGCCTTTTCTCTGTGTATTTCTTGGTGCCATTCTTCTGTGTTTCAAAAATAAAAAAAAATCACATGAATGGCACCGGCAACTGTTATGTCCCTTACCTACTACATTGTCTCTTTGGGTTTCATCCTTTCAAATCCTACTTTACTACATGGTAAAGTTGAAAGCTGAAAGCTCGATTTCCTGGCCCCCTTGGAGAAGGAGGCTGTCTGACTCATTTCTGGCTGACGGGAAGTCTGTGGTGTTGCTTGTTCAGCTGCCTTATTCTTTTTCCCTAGAATGTGGGTATGAGGCTGCAGATACTTACGCTAAAGGATGGTAACAGTGGGGAAAAGTCTGTATTCTTGATGGTTATAAAATTTAAACCTGCGTGCCCTTTAACTGCCTATCCTGGATTTCTTGTCATGTGAGAGCAATCCAAAGTTTTTTTTTTTATCTGTTCTGATACTTATGAGACAGTTCTTCTGGAACACAACCAAACCGGGCACTCACTGA